CTGGCTCTCCAACGGCCCGGCGTCTTCTGGGGGCGACGCCCGTCTCTCCTCTGTGATCTCCAGTTTCCTTTTGGGGAACTGTTTCCGGGCTGCAGAAGGAGTCAAGTTCCCGTTCATCATCATCGACATGCAAAAACACGCAGAACAGCAACACAGACACAGACAAGTAGATCTTCAAGTATTTCAGCAAACAACCAGGAGGATCCTGGTTTAAATCCCCAGATTTAAGCTGTGCCCCCCTTAATCAATTAAATTAATTAATTTCTCAGACCGGTTATTAAATCTCGGTCACAAAATAAATTAATTGATGGCATTGCTAAATTGTGAACTTTGTGAAAGTACTATAAATCGCCATGTGGTCGCAAACTGGCATTCGAGCTCCGGCCAACTGTAACTTGATTGCAGCCCTTCCTGCTCACTAGTCCCTGCAATGACTATGTACTCTCATGAATGAGTGGAGAAGTGCAGGTTGTGCAACAGACATTTCACTGCAGATAGTTTCCAATGTGATCGGCATGCAGGGTTAACAAGTATTATGAGTCTGCCAAACTATCTATGGGAACCACGCCGAAGGGTTGACCCAGCGCTGCCCCCTGGGGGCAGGGCGTACCGGTGCGCCGCTTGGGGATGCCGGAGGGGGAGATGACGGCGCCCTCGCTGCCGGGGGAGCCCTCGCTGCCGGAGGGGGAGCTGACGTCCGGGGCAGAATCCGTCCTGGGCTGGGGAGGGGCAGATACAGGGGTGACCTGGAGGGGAGAAAACCCAGAACAAAAGACCCTAAAAATATTGCTCCCCTAAAAATATGATGACAATTTTACCGTTACAATACAATCAAAGGGGGGCTGGAGAAAGTGTTCTAAGAATGTTTACATTTTACAGTAAATAAAAAAAGGCCAATTAAACCAATTAACTGGTCAGTTACACCAATCAATTAACTAACAGACGTGCTACAATGTACATATATCTATAACATTACATTGGGAATGTATATGAGCATTATACACACTGTGCTATAAGGACATCTCTTAAAAAATATAAAAGCAAGCAACAAATGGGCTCTTCACAACATGAATGTACGCCGTTTTGGCTACCGGCAGATTGAAATTCGAACAAATATGCACGACACGGCCTCGCTCTACTGATAAAACACAGCTGCCCCTGCTCTAAGAGCAGCCACCCGGTGCTGACGACTCAACCTCACACACGCTGCAGGTTTCACTGGATGGTTTTATTCAACGAACATGAAGCAGATGACCGCGTGGTCTGACTGACCGAGGAAGTGATCAATTAGACCCTTCAGTTAACGGATAGCTCAGGTTGAATGGGAAACAGTGTCGTGCGAAGAGGTCATGTTGCTAACTGCCTGGGGACTGGATTCTTGTATTATTCCGCTATCCAGAGCGCCTGTCAGTCTCCTGCAGTGTCTGTTCCCGACACTCTCACAGCTGGGACTGCAGGCGCAACCTCACTTAAGGGGGCAGCAGCTGTGCCCCCCAGCTGGATTTGAACTCACGGCCCCCCAGGCATGAGAGAAAAGCGGGGCACTCACCTGCTCCGCAGCAGCCTGGGGTGCAGGAGTGGCCCCCTGGGTCTCCCCGCCACGCGGCTCGTCATCGTCGCTGTCCGCGATGCGTCGGCTTCTCTTGGCCGTCTTCTTTATGGGGGAGTCGGGCTCCGGGGTGCCGTTCTGCGGTTTCAGGGGGGACTTGGCGGGCCTGGGAGACAGAGGGAGAGGTTGAGCTGAGGATCTGGGGCTTGGGGAGCTGGGCACCCCATCATAACCCGGGGGTGACGATCTCCTTAATGATGAGCAAAGTTACTGTACAACCCAGTGAGATCAGGGTAAAAACACAGTCCAGTACAGTAAAGCCCAGTGAGATCGGGGTAAAAACACAGTAGAGCACAGT